GGACAGAACTGGCTGCCAACCGCCGGTGTCACCCAGAGGGGACGCGACGCCCTGCGCCCCAGGAGACACCAGCAGGGAAACACCAGGGACACCAGCAGCTCTCCTTGCGACAGCCTTCACAGACAAGTCAAGCCAGGGAAACTGCTCCTCTTCTGTTCTGGGAGGACCATCCGAACCAGAATAACACCACGCCACAAGGCCTGCTATTCTGTCCCTACGGCAGGGAAGGGCCAGCTTTAGTCTCCGGGGCACAGGGCACCACATCACAAACCCCAGACCAAGAAGGACTTGAGCGTACTCTTCCTCCTCATCAGTTGTGAACAAATTCAGTCGAAATCCTGTCTCACTGCCACCAGGTTTCTTGATCTCCAGACCCCCCAGCAGCCTGGCCAAAAAGTTCAGTTCTTCTTTAGCGAGCGGGTTAGGGACTATATTCTCCTGCAGAAAACAGCGATGGGTTCATTGGTCAGGTTACCACAGGGATGAGGACTGTAATCATTTTTGTGTTTTCTGATATTAAATAAATGTTCCTCAGAGTGATATAAATACATTTCTGTATTGTTAATGGTACAGACTATGCAGATAACTAGTAATCATCGGCTACATATTTAAAATGGTTGCTTGAATTTATAGACCCAGGACAAGATGATTTTCCAGCTAAATTGAACAGCTGAGAAATCTGTAAAACCAGCTTTCTGTTTTCTGAAGAGATTAAAATAGGAAGCACGTGTACCATTGCATAAGCCTGTGTGTAAGTTTCTTGAGGAAGACCTGCCCTTCCCCTAGCTCAAAAGGGACCGTGGAGGATTGGATGGGGCTCTGAGAAGAACTAAAAAGCTTCCCCCAAATTTATCCCGTAAGTGTAGACTAAAAGGATGGTTATTGTTTCCCTTAGAAAGGAGATGAGCACAGGGTGCAATTATATAGTGCAACTGTGTTGTAAATGATTTGGAGACGACAGATATGAGCGCTTCATTCAGTGCCCCCATCTATTAAGGCAAGAGAAGCAGAATGTAGGATCTGGGGGACGTGGTGAAACTGCTCAAAGGAAACGCTCCCATCACGAGCGACCAGCTGCAGGACTCACTGACAGAGCCCAGTTAGCCAGCTAACGAGGGACAGGAACAGAACAACACTGACCTTCGCATTGGATGCCAAGTTTTTGGATGATCCCGACATCTGTGTCTCTACTGGCCGACTAACACTGTACCTAGGGAGAAGAACACACGAGGAAGAGTAACCCGTTACTTGTATGTGATGCAGGAACTGGAGGGAGCAGCACAGGATCTAAGTATGATTTTAGGGTATTTTTCTGAAGACTGCAAATAACTAAATGAGAAGTTACAGTTCACTTCTGTGGAGTATTGAGGCATTAAATGTACGAGTGATAAAGCTGTAAGAAAGAACACTGCTGTCTCTTCTTCTGTGAATGGAAAAATTACGTAAGACAAACATGGAGAAAAGAAAGGATTTCTTGAACGCAGTTAAAATTAAATTACATTTCATAGAATATGCAGTACCAGATGAGAAGACTCTTTACTCAGCTCTACTGTAGACATAAATCAAACTTTTGCTCTTTTCCACAGCTCTATACACATCTATCTACACGTGTTCTGTTTCAGGCTATCACTTTGTAAAGAAGTCAAGCTGACAACAGCGAAAGAGGTAAAAATAAAAACACAAGGCTGAAGATGTGCTTCTGAAGAAATCCATAACCAACAACATTTACTTCAGGTTTCTTATGTAGGACAAAAATTACTTACATATTTGTTCCAAGTTTGAGGACTCTGTCTCCATAAAGATCAAAAGATCCTTCCTTTTGTGGCGTAACATAATTTCCACCAGTGCTGAACTCAGTTCTTTTAACTTCATCGCCATTGCGATTAAACATCCTTAAAAACAAGTCATTATTGAAACATATTTGTAGTTTCATTACTGCTTTTCAGTACTTCCTCTGCTTACTGTACAAGAGAAACGGGAATAAAACCCTATTCTGCATGTTGGTAAATGGATAAATGACTAATTGCTAATTTACTGGAATAGAGAAAGCCTGAAACAGCTTAGTATTGCATTGCTGGGTGACTTAGTCCCAAATCCTGCCCTTTAAATAGTCCGTACTGGCGGGTTGGGCACACCC